TACTGTGGCGAATACTGCGGCAACACAAAGCGAACAACGAGAAATAGGCAGAATGTTCGAGGAATGACGTAGAATGTTCCACAAAGAGAAACGTCCAGTTGGATGAACACTGCGAACAGCGAGAGAAAGAGAATGAGCGATAAACTTCAGAATGTTCTAGAGTTGCCATAAGTGCCAGCGCAGGTATATAAGGGCGCCGCCACAGCGATGTGAGTTAATTACAAGTCAGCAAGCTACAAGTAAAGTGAGCAGATAAGTGAGTTGCGAATAAGCAAGCTATAAGTTTAATTGTGTTAACAAGTTTAGTAAAGCGTTGTTATTGTTTTAACAAGTATTGTAAAGTGTTTTTACTGTATTAGCAAGTATTGTAAATTGTTTGTTGTACAATAAAGTTAATTGTACTACAATTTGGTCATCGTTAGCATTTATTTAACAATCCAGCAATACGAGCCGTAGGATATTTAGGAAATCCATCGAGGTTTCAAGGATAATCGTAACAACACAATTTTAAAGGGCTATATATCCTCAAATCAACTCAAAAATAGTCATTCAAAAACTCATAAATCTACAAAATCGTATTTTCTAACCTAAATCGACAGGTCGCGACCTCTAAATGACCTTTGAGAAATCTACAAAAATAGCCAATAATATTTCTCATAAAAACGAATAAAATTAGGGGGTAGGGTCTTGAAATTTCCAAAAACAACATTTTTGATGGGCACACTAATGACCATAATATATAGAAATTTTAAACATGTTTCTTTAGCTCTAAAACGGCGTTAAGATGAAGTCTCTACGATGAGCAGAACCGAGATATAACAATTTGAAAAAGTACATGATTAGTCAGAATCACGAAAAAATCCAAACTATGACAGATCATACATAAAATATAATAATAGTAGTATTAGAATTATAATATATTATTTGATTATTTGTAGGGTTGCAATTTTATAATTCTTGTATGCCATTACAGTGTCTCAATTTTGTTTTATTTTTATTTGGTCGTAAATAAAATTATATCCCGGAGTCCCGCGATCCCGAGGGCTTGATCCTGGGTTTCGGAACTCAAATAAGTTCCCGGTACTGGATACCTTAGTCCAAACGCTGAGCAGAACTAGCCATAGCAAATTTAATAAGAAAGAAGTGACACTTAGTCAATGAACCTGATGAGGCTTCTCTTGGAGTTTTCTAGAGAAAGATTCTGCTGAAGAATTAAAATACAGCGGCGGAATGGACATAGAGCTGGTAATGGAGATAGAGCAAGGCCTCCTCTTCGCTGAAAATACTAGGTGGAGAAGAACTTGGCTTCACTAAGCATTTCCAATTTGGCCGCATAGGCCAAAATTATTTTTATGAATATTTCAACTCGAAATGTTTAGAAAAGACGTGTTTTGACATATAGAAAATGTTCAAAATCAAGTAAACATAAGGGGAGGGCGTCCAATTTAAAATATGAACTGTGCAACCTGCAATGGAAAAGTTGATCGTTTGATTCAACCAAAGTTGTGTGCTCGGAATGCAAGTTCTTCTTCCACGGTTTGTGTGTGAACATGGCTCCAGCGGACATCGAATTTATGAAGGTGAAAGGTGTCAAGTATCGCTGCACTAAATGCACAGCAGTCCATCGAACCTCTTTGCACCGAGATACATTATCACCAACTCCACCAATGCAACAACAGCGTAAACCCAATCCAAAACTCTCAGCTACAGCGGGTTTTACTGCAGAGTCACAACAACAAGAAAACAGCATATCCAAAAGCATCGAAAAGCAACAAATAAATGGTAATGCTCATGCTGATACGGTACAAGGTTTATATATAAGAGGTTGCGCAATGCGCAGATCCGTTATTCTTTTCTCGCAAAATTGGGCGACAACAACAGCAAAAACAACAAGCAGCTGAAACAACAAGCAGCGTATAAAAAACATAAAATTTAAATGAAGTGAAGCGATTTCAAACCAATTGTAATCGATAGCTTATTCGAAAATACATTTACAGTTAATTTTAACCAAATTTTTACTCATACCTGTATGTCGAAAAAGCCACAAAATCGGATTTTTCACTGCGGTAAATTTTTGCGAAATTTTCATTTCAACTCGCTATATCTCAGACGTTTATGATTCGATTGATTTGAAATTTGTACACAATAAACTAGATAATATTCTAAAGAAGATGAGTCTAACTGCACTTCTTAATATTTATTTAAAACAAAATTACGGATATTTTAACATTTTTATAAAAATTAAGGGGGTGATTTTTACAAATGCAAAAGTTGTGTTATGAAGTTTAAAATTTTTGTTTTGTTTTAATGCAGCATTAAAGACAAATATATACGGATATTTTTGGGAAAGTTTCAGGTTTAGTTTACAAGTAGTTCTAAAGTTATAACAATATTATGATGACACCCACGAGCGGTCGCTCGCCTCTAGATGACAAATATTTTTACTGGGCACTTGTACATGTAATTTTGGAAGTAATATTAAGTGAAATGTTGAAATGCATGAATTTATCAGTGTAATATAACTTATTAAAGCTAGTTTATTGTGTACAAATTTCAAATCAATCGAATCATGAACGTCTGAGATATAGCGAGTTTCGCAAAAATTGGCCGCTGTGAAAAATCAAGTTTTGTGGCTTTTC